GGTCCAAAAGGCGAGCCGGCCTGTTTGGTTAAAACGAGATTTGAAGAGCCAGATAAACCGAAAGAATAAATTCTGAAGAAGGTATAAAACAACAGGTGAACCCTTGCACTACGAAGAATTTCGTCAAAAGCAGAAGGAGATAATGTCAAGGGTTCGCAGATCGCGCAAGGAGTATGAAGCAAAGATGATAGAACGGGCCGTACATAAGCCAAAAATACTCTTTAGTTACATCAACAGTAGGCTAAAAAATAGACAGTGACAGTGTTGAAAGGCGAAAACAATGAAGACAGTAGTTGAAATCAAGATAAGTCGGAACACCTGAGTCGGCTTTTCGCATCTGTTTGCACTGAAGAATTAGATTTTAACCAGACAGACTTCCATGCAGGGAGTAGCGACGAACTCATGGAAGATCTCAAATCTACGGAGGAAAGAACTTTTTGCGCTTAAGGACGCTAAGTCTCCAGTTTCAGACCAGATATCGGCAAAAGTACCAAAAGAGGTCGCTCCTGGTCTTTCCAGACCGCTTTCACATATTTTTTCAATTGTCCTTTGATCGAGGGATTCTCCCCATCTGATTGCAAAATATTGAACATACACCCCATTTACGAGGGTTGATCCAGAACCGACGTGAACAACTATCGACCGGTAAGCCTAACAAGCATACTGAACCACTGAACCAAGGGGTGACACTGCAAAGAGATGTTATCTTGACTAAACTGAAGCACTAGGATGGAAAAAGTCGAAAGTATACGAAGAAAGAATAGACATTAGATGATGGAGGCTCACTGATCGCTAACGGAAGTTACTCGTCTCGCTCTGTCTAGGGGCTTACTTTCGAGCCTCACCAGCAGCCGAACAGCAGATAGTATAATAGGCAGAATGACATTTCCGGCAAAGAGAAGGGAGACTGAAATGGCCATTTCTGGTTCATTAGCCGTCTCGTTGATGAACGTTCACCTAACCGCTAACCGGATTTATCTGTCGCACTCTGTCATTGGCCTCGACAGAGGCCCTGACAGCCACAACGGCTGGTAGTAGGCAGATAGTATTGCTGGCAAAGGCGAGCGAGTCTGGTAGTGAACGGTCGCGTTGCTCAACGAGTGTCAATATCCCCTGACCTAAACTGGCAAGAGAACAAGCTCGTGGCTCAATGGTTAGGACGTTTGACTCTGATTAAAGAGATCGCGAG